AGTTCTTGCGGCATAACTGATACTGTAAGCCTTTTTTACGGTGGCCGCCGTCCTTTCTGCTTTAATACAAGCTTATAAGGTTTTTCCATGGACTGTTGAGTTATTATCGCGGGGTAATAAGTCATCTGATTGTGTCTCTGTTGTTGTGTTCGTAGTCTGAATGGTTTAAAGGGCTGCTTTCAGTGCCGTTCCATCTGAGCGTTAACAGACATAAACATGCAGTAAATAAATCGATTTTCAATCAGTTTTTAATCAGTTTTTTTTGCACCAAAGCGTTAATAATAATAAACACGTTTTCACTGAGGCTCTGTAAGAGCCATATGAATGAAATAAGTAATTATTGGTATGACAGAAGCAGCGGCTTTGACACCTGGGTGGTGGGCGTGTCGATGTGGGCGTGACTGTCAAGTACGAATCGTAAGGTTACTGGCTGCTGGCTCTGTGTGTGTGAGGAAGCGGGTGAGCTGGGGGGTCAGTCCTCGCAAAGTTTGGAGCATGATAATCAAAATGAAATAAATCGATAATTGTGACAGAACAAAGAGGTTTGGACTTGATTGATACACGGACAGATGAGATTCCCCGAGTTAATCCAGTGCGGCCCTCTATCACCATTAGTTTGCTGTGTTTTATAATAATAAAACGTGTTTATTATTATTAACGCTTTGGTGCAAAAAAAAAAATGTTTGAAAATCGATTTATTTACTGCATGTTTATGTCTGTTCAGGCTCAGATGGAATGGCACTGAAAGCAGCCCTTTAAACCATTCAGACTACGAACACAATAGAGACACAATCAGATGACTTATTACCCCGCGATAATAACTCAACAGTCCATGGAAAAACCTTATAAGCTTGTATTAAAGCAGGAAGTACGGCGGCCACCGTAAAAAGGCTTACAGTATCAATTATGCCGCATGAACTGATCAGTAAAAGAAAAAAAAAAAATTCCCCATGTCCCCTGGAGGGCTCCGTACTATTCCGCCTTTTCTCGCTCTGTATGTCGGCACGACCCGTTGCCATGGCAACCGACAAACAACAGCTCAACGAGCAGATAGAGCAGAGATTACCGATCAGGGGAATCAACACCAAAAAGCAAACATTTCCCACACAAAAAAGTAGCAAAAACACTAAAACAGAACATCCAGTCTGTTACATTATGTTGTCAGGCTTAATGTCTATATTATGATTATTAATAAGTTTTCGCCTGAACACCGCGGTGGTTGATTAGCTGATTTAAACAGCTGCTCTACTGATGACTGGGCGGGTTGTTTAGTGCTAACGGAACCAAAACACACCGAACTGCGCAGCAGGTTATCAATGTCAATAGCAGGCCAGCAGCCGTTAGGCTAGTATAACTGACCCTCTGCTTAATTGTTCAATGTTTTCTTTAAATTAAAACGTTTTTCTCACCTGTGAAATCTGAAGCCCTTATTACCATATATGGTTGAATTAATAAACATTGCGTCCGTTGTTCTGATTCTTTGCGTGGTTGTAGTATTTTCCTGACCATATCCTACCTGTGGAAGTTTCGTTTAGTCTGTTTTATTTAATCGAAGATTACGGTAAGCTTTATTTAATTTATTTTATAGCTGGCTTTCATTAAGCTGCTATATTACTTCATGTTTTAAGCTTATATGAGGGGCAGCTTGTTAACATTTTTATAAAAGGCTTCGCTTGCCGTCTGGCTGCTATGTCGTTACTACCGTAACGACATAGCATAGCTGTAAACAAGTCATTGCTTGACGTCAACCACGTGAATCAGGACAAAAATGTTTGTTTTTGTGGCTATTTTGTCCCTATACATTAAAATATTTTAGTGTAATGACACTCTTTTTAAGTATTAATGCGCAAAAAAGAGTTTGCGGTGGTCTGAATGATGTCTGTGTTTAATTTATTTCAATAGAAACTTGTTTTCCCTGTCTGATACTGTTTCATTCTTGCAAACACCTCTGTATTTAAAATATGTTTTAAAAAGGTAGGATATTCTAATAAAAGGATTAGTGCATACAACTGCGATAGCTTTTCATTTTAAACGGGTAGGATATTCTGATGAAGGAGTTGTTAGAAACCCAGCCTTTCCCTACTGGGCAGTAGAGAGCAACGTGTATGTATGAAGAAGAGTGAGAAGGGTCCAGTTGTTGTTGAGAGCGGGTGTTAGTTTTAGGGAAGTCAGTCCAGTACGCTGCACTTGTTCATCCTACTAAAAGAAGAATAAAGTTCTTAACGCGTTCATCTGCCTCCTCCTTGCTTTTGCCCACCAAGGGAGCACATCTGATTCGAGCTTGTTAACCAGCGAACGAGCCGAAATAAACATCTGTTCTAGACTTACGGAAGGTAACAAAACGATATTTTTGTGGTTTCGTTGTATATAAATTGTTCCAATGCTATGTATAACTCCTAAACTTCCACTTCAGTCCAGTCACTCAAAGAATGTTATCCGATTATAATATTTAACATTAACACAACCCGCTATTTTTGCAAACATGACGGTAGCAGGTTTAGACGCGTAGCACCGACAGATAAAAATGTCTATATGTGCTACGGTAGGAAAATCTGATGAGGTAGTCAAAACCGGTATTCAAGACAAAGAACACAAAGTATCTTTATCTCTCATAAATACAATTTAGCTCGTTCACAATCAGACGACACAGCAACTGTATCGGTCACGTGGTTTACCTTAAAGTGATACGCGCTTTAAGGTTTGTTTTGTTTGCTAGGCGCAAGTGCCGATGTTTCTGTGTCGTCTGGCCCATCGCTACTAAAAACTTTGAACCCTAGCGTTTCCAGATGATCTGCAATTGGGAAAATTTCTTATAAAGGGAAAGACTCCAGAATGGGTTATAGTTAATTATTCTGAAAGATTTAAAGATAGCATAATTATATAAAGTCATGATTAAAAGGGGAATAACAGATCATCTAGCAGTTTTTACAGTTTAATTATCTGCCATATTAGCTTTAGAATGGTTGCTTGATGATATTAGGGAAGAAAGTAAATCTATAATTGCATCAGATAGTCATAAGCTGCATTATTAAGATAAAATCTGGCAAATCTTGTAGATTGGATTTATTATATATCACTTATTAGTTCAGCTACATAATAAGAAATGTTTTGTTCGATTTGTCTGGATTACTGCACATGTAGGTATAGAAGGAAATGAAGAAGTAGATATATTAGCTAAACAGGCCCTGAAATCAGATATTATTAACCTAAGTATCTTTAAGCAAAAGTGAGGGGGAAATCTGTGATTCACAATAAAATCCTTAAGGTTTGGCAGGAACAATGGGATAATCATGATACTGGCAGACATATATAATTAAAAAGAATGTGGGGGATAATAAATGTATGAATGGAAGGCAGAAAGAAGAGGTAGTCATATCTCGACTTAGAATTGGTCATACTGGACTTAATAGTTCTATTTTTCAAAAAGGAAAACATGAAACTGGCACTTGTAATTATTGTAATCAGATGGAAACAGTGGAACATGTCATATTAGAATGTAATAAGTATTCAGAGGAACGTCAGCATTTAAAATTGATACTAAATACAGATTAAATAGGATTTTCTATGATAAATCTTTTAGGAAATAAATCAAATTCTGTTAGAATCAATTTTTAATTTTTAAAAAACACTGGGTTATTTAATCATACTTAAAGTATGTATACATGTGGATACACACACACACACATATATATACTGAAGCACATATATATATATGCTTCAGTTCTATATATATATGAGTGTGTATCGATGTGAATTTGCACATTCGTGCATATTAAATTCCCTCTGAGATCATTGATGACCACACTCCAGTCTGGTAGGTGGCGGTAAATGCACCTTAAGTTGGTTGCCATCCACCAATAATACACAAATTAATTAGAAGAAGAAGAATTAGAATTAGAAGAAGAAGAAGAATGGCGTTGGCGTTAACGTAGGACTCGGACGCTGACGTTTCGCCTATGTGGTAGTGTAGTCTGGCTGCCTGACCACAGGGTCATTGACTCAAACTGGTTAACAACATGGCTGCGTTAAAGTTTTGTGCGAATATTTCCTGGCTGTTTACTGAGCATCCAGACTTCAGCCAGAGAATATACGCGGCTGCTTCTGCCGGGTTTCAAGCTGTGGAAGCAGCTTGGCTTTACGATTCGGACCTGTCGGAGCTCCAGAAAGCCAAGGAGGCAACGAGAGTGGAAGTCGTTCTTATCAACACCCCACCAGGTGGCTAAAGCACCGAGATAAATGGCAGAGGCAGCAGAGACACTGCTGATGTTATGTTTATTTGATTTTTCTTTTATGACAAGTGCTTTAAGACAACATTTATTGTGATTGGCGGCGCTATATAAACTGAACTATATGGTTGTGTTGCAGGGGATATCAAGGCAGGTGACCTCGGTTTGGGAGCAGTTCCAGGGAGAGAGCTGGAGTTTAGAAAAGGGCTGGATCTTACTCTGAAGTATGCAAAAGCTTTGAACTGCAAGAGGTCAGAGAACACTCTTCCTGAAAACTTTTGTGCTTTTGAGACTCTTCCCATAGGAAGCAACTGACATAATAAAAGTATTTGAAATTTTATAAATATTTGTCAATGTCAACCTATTGACAGTTACAAAAGTAATGAAAGGAAAATTTGATGGAGATTTCCTTTTGTGTTTGCAGTGCTGGGTGTGCCTCCCAATTCCATCAATTCTCATCTTCAGTTCTTTGTCTGGAATTTGTCCAGTTTTTGTCTCCTTGGGCTGAGTTCTCATGATGCCTTTCAGTGGCAAATTAGTGAACAGGAGTTTTTGTGAATAATACAGAAAGTGTTATAAGCTCGGTGGTTGGGGCACTAGGGCAGTACACTACTGTCCACTGAATTCTGCTAAAAAGTGTTAAAAGTTGACAGGAAATTTTAAAACATACTAGATAATTATGTTATTGGAATATATTATTGACGATACTTAAACACCATCAACAGTGTTTTCTTATTTAAAAAAGGGCAAATACAAAAAAAAAAAATACAATTGAATATTTTTTGCACTTCAGTAAATCCTAATCAGCAAGTGGATCCTAAGACAAGGATCCACATCTTGCATCTAGAGGTAAAGTAATGTTATTATGGATGGAGGATTTATTTTACTTTAAATGTACATCAGGACAGAATCCAGCACTTTTGATCCTACCAAACTAGAAAGTTGTCAGATTTATTTCTCAACACGTAACCATTGTATACTCTAATTATTTCAGAAAATTGTGTCACTCCATAAGTGGCATCTCATTGGAACATGTTTGAGGATAACTTTGACTGGAAAAGGATTTGGACTTTAATTTTTACTCATTAAATGCAACGTATCATTTACAATAATTCACACACTCTACTCGTCCAAAATCTTTTTACAAAGTTTTAACAAAAGTATAAATATACATGGCTTTTTTTGTGAAGGTAACCTGAAAGATGTTTTTTTAATTTTGGTCTTGCCCCTTCTCTACTTAATTTTGGAAAAATATTTGCATTTTGATTTCTACTTTTATTGAACCAGATCTGTCCCTTTGCTTTGAAAATACATTACTTGGCTTCATTGACTACCCAGCTAAATGGGTTATTATGTCACTAATCTTATATCTTATCCTATACTTAGCCAAATGGGATAATTACAAATGCTGTTAAACTAATCAAAAACCACTTGTCTCCATTTATGAAAAGGAGGTCATATGATATATTAAAACCATTAGAAATTCCACCAATATGAAACCCATTAAAATGTGTACCTTATGTGCTCTCTTAATGTATTATTTTAAGGTATTGTCTCTGTGTGCAACCCTCTGGTGGCTGTCATTACACTGGATTTTGTTGTACTATTTTGCATTATTTCTCAATAATTATTTTACAAAAGCAGTGTAATCTCCTCCACAAAATGTAAACAAAAGTAGTGTGGCATCGCACTACCGTTATAGTGTGATGCAACACTACAAAGGTAGGTTGACCTGATGTCAACATCTTAAGACATCAGGTTTTAAGATGTTGTAGGATTTCTCTTTGCAAATGTGTCAAACATCAGGTTTTCCACATGTGATATAATCCTCTCTAATAGCCATCTCTTTTCTTCCTGTTTTGTAGATCATATAAATTAAAAAAGAAATATTATTTAACCCAGTGTCTTAACTGAGGGGCTCAGCATTATTTTACAAGTTTCCTGGTTTATTGCAGTGAAGAAAACTGTGATCTCTTGACAGAATTCACCTAATGGCAGGAAGGATTCCAGTGGATGCTCACAGAGCTGCGATTGCAAGAGAAATGGAGGATGTCTTTGTGCAGAACCTAAACTATGCAGCTGGTATCTTGGCCAAGGTCAGGTTATTTGTTTGGTAGCAAGGTTGGGGGTCTCTCTGCATGGAGTTTGCATGTTCTCCCTGTGCATGTGTGGGTTTTCTTTTCTTCAGGTACTCCGGCTTCCTCCCACAGTCCAAAAACATGACTGTCAGGTTAATTGGCCTCTCTAAAATCTCCCTAGGTGGGTGTGTGTGTGTGGTTGTTTGTCCTGTCTGTCTCTGTGTTGCCCTGCGACAGACTGGCCACCTGCCCAGGTGACCCCGCCTCTCACCCGGAACGTTTGCTGGAGATGGACACCAGCACCGCTCCCGACCCCACTAAGGGACAAGGGTGTATGGAAAATGGATGGATAAATATATATTCACCTAGTTGAACCATGAATCCAGATCTCTTCACACACAAAGCAGATAAATGCATCCAAACGCACAGTCTCTCAAATTCCTCCTGGTTCCCATCTGCAGAGAAATCTGCGCTAGTTCATCAGTCAGTTGGATCTGTCTGATCAAACCGATCAATTGAGCTCTGCAAGCGCAGTCCGGTGTGCGCTTTTACGAGGATTTTTTTGTGTAGTTTTGCTTCCATGGAGCGGCTCATCCTGAGCGCCGCTCTCCTTCCCGGTGTGGGAGGGTAATGTTGAAAACTCAGGGAGAGTGAAGTTTAATTCTTCGCAGCGGTGGAGCCACGTTTGCATTGGTTGTGCAGCGGACTGCACATTTAACTTTGGCACATTTATTTATTTCGTAAAGATAAACTGCTGGCTCCTCTGTTTAGACTATAACTGAATTAACACAACATTGCATTCTCTTTAGTTTTCTCTGT